CTACTTCACCCACAGGCTTTCCTGAACCTTCCCAAGCGATGCCCACCCAAGCTACCCCTCTCCTGGGGCCCTGCCACACAGAGCAGATGCCTGTGTGTGTGTGTGTGTGTGTGTGTGTGTGTGTGCGCGCGCGCGCTGGCTACTTCACCCACAGGCTTTCCAGACAGATGTCTGTGTGTGTGTGTGTGTGTGTGTGTGTGTGTGTGCGCGCGCGCGCTGGCTACTTCACCCACAGGCTTTCCTGAACCTTCCCAAGCGATGCCCACCCAAGCTACCCCTCTCCTGGGGCCCTGCCACACAGAGCAGATGCCTGTGTGTGTGTGTGTGTGTGTGTGTGTGTGTGTGCGCGCGCGCGCTGGCTACTTCACCCACAGGCTTTCCTGAACCTTCCCAAGCGATGCCCACCCAAGCTACCCCTCTCCTGGGGCCCTGCCACACAGAGCAGATGCCTGTGGCTGGGCCTGAACTGATGGCAAAGCCAGGAGCCAGCAGTTGTCAAGTGATCCTGTGGTGAGGTCTGGGTGGAAAGGCCCCATTTAGGGCAGGGGCGGAGCAAAAGAGGAAACCCGCCCCGGCTGCAGCTGTGCCAGGCGGTCAGGTGAGGGGCTGCTGGAGGCCGCGTCTCTGCAGCTGCCCCTCACGGCACCTATAGGAGGACACACAGCTCTGGGCTCCAGCCAGGGGAGAGGGCAGCACGTGGAAGACCTAGAAACACATGACTCTCTTCAGGTGGGGGCAGGACAAGGGACAGACATAAAGTCCCATAGCTCATTTCTTGGTCCTGCCTAAACTGGACGCATACACTCTGACATCATGTTTACCATTTGCCAAATTATGACTTTATGGGTAGAAAGAAACTAGGTAGAAAGAAAGCACTGCCTATTGCTAAAATAACAAGGCTGCCAAATGTGCGTGCCTTTGTAGGCTGACTTCAAATGTCTGAAAGATCCTGATGTTGTCCTCTACTCCGGTTACCACAGTGCCTGCTCCCCTGGAGGGAGGTGTAAGGTCTGATTGAGAAGAGCAGTGTGGGGCATGCCAGCGGCTGGAGAATAAACCATGGGATTAGGGTCCCTTTGAGGGTGGCCTTGGAGACATCAGGGAGTTCTGGGAGGACCTGGGGGCACAGAGGGCTGTGGGAAGGGAGAAAATGATGGGCTGAGGCAGGGGCCACGCAGGAGCCTCAGGCCGGGACTCACTCCATCACGTGGAAGACAGCATCATGGGCCTGCAGAATCTCACAGAAGGGGCTTAGGAAGTCATGTGATGCCCATGGTCTGAGGGAAAAGGCCAGGGCAGAGGCCAGGTTTGGCTCCCGAAACGATAGTGGCCCTCGGCCTCTGGGCACAGGCCATTCTAGGCCTCCTTGGGTGAGGCGTCACAACGGCAGGCAGGCAGCATCTCTGGGCAAGGTCTTGGGTCTCATTCTCAGCAGGGTGGGCAGCATGTCTACCCCGAATGGGCCCATGAGAATGACCAGATGCCACGAAGAAAGAGGTTGTAAGAGGAAGGAAGGGAGGAACAGAGATGGGCGTTGGTGAGAAACAGCACTGCTAATGTTTCCTGAAGCCACAGCTTCCTTTTTGCTCACCTGGGGGGCCGTGACCACACCGGACAGATGGGGAACCTCCCCTTCCTGGGCCCCTGTGCCATGGTCCTCCCTCACTTGCCCTCCCTGCCCTCCAGAGAGAGGTCAGCTTACCTGCTGTCTGGCGAAATAATCCTTCACCAAAGAGCCCATCACCTGCTGGGGGGACTTGGCGGTGCAGAGGTGGGCAGTGATGGGACGACCCAGCACCCGCTCGGCGTATCGGACCCAACCTGGGGAGAGAAGGGGTCCAAGGTCAGCTCCTTACTGTTTCCTCTGGACCTTCCTGCCACGCACCAGGGAATGCTGAGCTCGAGTCCCTGCCACCCCAGGGTGAAGCCAGGACACCTTTTCCCCAGGCCTCACCAGGAGCTCGTGCTGGACCCAAAACCCATCCTCTGTGGCCCGGCTGTGGGTCATGGGAACCTGCAGGCCTGGAGGCTACTGGGAAATGGGAGCATCCCTGCAAGGCCGACAGACAAGTAAGAGTCGGGGTAACAGGTCCACCAAAAAGGTGAAGGGGAACAAGCACTGAAGGGCAGCAGGAGCAGTGGCCCAGGCTGCACCATGCGAAATCCCCTGGCCAGCTGCACAGTCTTTGCAGCCAGGACACGCAGTTACCGCTCAAAGGAGAGCAGCCACATGCTTGCCCAACTTCTCTTGCCGACTAGAAATTAACAGCCCAACAACTGGCCGGGCGCGGTGGCTCAAGCCTGTAATCCCAGCACTTTGGGGGGAGGCCGAGACGGTGCTGGATCAACGATGTCAGGAGAATCTCAGACCATCCTGGCCTACACCGGTGAAACCCTGTCTCTACTCGAAAAATACAAAAAACTAAGCCGGGCGAGTGGCCGGGCCTGTAGTCCAAGCTACCCAGGAGCTGAGCCAGAGAATGGCGTGAACCCCAGGAGGCGGAGCTTGCAGTGAGCTGAGATCCGGCCACTGCACTCCAGCCTGGGCAAGAGAGCCAGACTCCGCCCTCAAAAAAAAAAAAAAACAGAAAACAAAAAAAACAAAAAACAAAAAAAGAAAAAACAAGCCCAACAACTGCACACTTTTTAAAATATAAAGAAATCTAGCCAGGCATGATGGCTCATGCCTGTAATCCCGAGAACTTTGGGAGGCCGAGACGGGCGGATCGACGAGGTCAGCAAGAGTGAGACCAGCCCTGGCTAACATGGTGAAACCCGTCGCTACTAAAACACAAAAAATTAAAAATAAGTTCGCGGAGTGGTGGCAGAGGCGCCTGTAGTCCCAGCCACTCGTGTAGGCTGAGGCAGGAGAATCGCCGTGAACCTGGGAGGCGGAGGTTGGAGTGAGCTGAGATCGCGCCACTGCACTCCAGCCTGGGCGACAGAGCAAGACTCTTATCTCAAAAAAAAAAAAAAAAAGTGTCTTGGCCAAGCTCAGTGGCTCACGCCTGTAATTCCAGCACTTTGGGAGGCTGAGGTGGGCAGATCACCTGAGGTCAGGAGTTTGAGACCAGCCTGACCAAAATGGTAAAACCCTGTCTCTACTACAGATACAAAAATTACCTGGGCATGGTGGCATGCACCTGCAATCCCAGCTTCTCAGGAGGCTGAGGTGGGAGAATCACTTGAACCCCGGGGGTGGAGGTTGCAGTGAGCCAAAATCACACCACTGCACTCCAGCCTGGGTGACAGAGTGAGACTCTGTCTCAATAAATAAATAAAATAAAAAATAAAAAAAGTATTTGACCAGGATGGAGCTTATGTTGAGAAATAAAGTTTATACTTTTTATCTTTTTTTTTTTTTTTTTTTTTTGAGACGGAGTCTCGCTCTGTCGCCCAGGCTGGAGTGCAGTGGCGCGATCTCCACTCACTGCAAGCTCTGTCGTCTCCCGGGTTCACGCCATTCCTCAGCCTCCTGAGTAGCTGGGACCACAGGCGCCTGCCACCACACCCGGCTAGTTTTTTGTATTTTTAGTAGAGATAGGGTTTCACCGTGTTAGACAGGATGGTCTCAATCTCCTGACCTCGTGATCCACTCGCCTCAGCCTCCCAAAGGTGTGAGCCACCGCACCTGGCCAAGAAATAGAGTTTATACTTTTTATCTTTTAATTCTGTTCTTTCACAAACTTTTTGCAGTCTCCTCGCATTTGTTGATTTCCTTATGAGAGATCCTACTGGGATGGAACCTAGAATGGAACTCTCAAGTCACTGAAGGAACTAACTCTGCTGATGTGAATCCTGAGTAGATTGCTGATTTGTATAGAAATGGTGATCCCTCCGCCTGTGGCAGTGAACACAATGCTAGGTAGGGGCCCTGAAACGTCTCTTCTCAGTGACGGCATTTCTGAGAAATGTGTCACCAAATCCTTTCTCTTCTCCAGCCACCAGCTGCAGACCAGCCCCTTGCTTCCTATTTTAGCTTGAGATTTGCTGTATGTATGTAGCATAAATGTATAATTGACAGGGTTGCTCTGTTACCCAGGCTGCAGTGCAGTGGTGCAATCACGGCTCACTGCAGCCTTGAACTCCCAGGTTCCAGTGATCCTCCCACCTCATCCTCCCAAGTAGCTGGGACTACGGGCGCCCGCCACCACGCCTGGCTAATTTTTTGTATTTTTAGTAGAGACGGCGTTTCACCATGTTGGCCAGGATGGTCTCAATCTCCTGACCTCGTGATCGACCCACCTCAGCCTCCCAAAGTGCTGGGATTACAAGTATGAGTCACCGCGCCTGGCCTGAATTTTTTATAATTTAGAAACCCACTGCTCCAGGGTCATTGGCGTTAGTTCTTTGTCATTTCACATGGCCTCTTCCTTGGTTGGGGGTGGAACTAAGCAAGTGTGACTGGTGTTGTGAAGCCATGTTGTGTGTGGCATCATGTAATGGGCCCCAAAAGGAAAGTACTCCAGCAAGGGGACCACAGAGGCAGGCTCAGCACACAAACACCAGGTACTCCCAGGTCACTGGAGCCCAGGCAGCTCCCAAAACCATCAGGTGTGGAAATTATTCCTTTACGCCTGGAAGAACACCCAAAATGCCACAAGAGCTGAATGTAATACCCACAATCTAGTAAAGGCTGTATCTGGTATCAAACAGTTTATACTTAGACCTCTGATACAAAAATCTGTGAATCACTTACACTAAGGCAAACCACACAGCTGAAAGGAGTCACTAACATCGCCGTCCCCATCTGGAGCTGAGAACACAGCAGACTGTGGGTTGCTGGTGAAAGACACAGCTCAAATAACGAGCCAACCAGTGCAGCCCACAGAACAGCTGGTAAATTTCCTCTTTATATTTTATAAATGGCTAGAGAGTAAGTCCATATTCTAAGGAACCACAATGTCAACGTTCTATCTTATTAACTCATAATCCTAATGACTAAAGGTTGACATGTAAAATGCTAGAAAAATTTGAAACCATTGTGGGGGTAGCATAAATTGAGAACTGAAACATGAACCAAACCCTAAAAATTATACAGCCTATGACTAGCTTAGATAGAGCTCTCCTATGCTCCCACAGGCCTCATGTAGTTAGAATAACTTTTAACTAATGTTTGCCAGGATAGCCATTCTTTCCTTATTCCCTTATGCACTGTCAAAAATTTCTTAACCCAAACTCTCCACTTTTCTAGAATTGAAAAGCATGTGATAAATCTCTTCTATAACTCAGGCATCCAAAAACCAATTAAACAGCGGTTTAAACAGTGCTCTCTGAGAGTATCTGAGTATCACTGTAAAGAAATTTTCTTATTCTTTTTTTTTAAGATGGAGTCTTGCTCTGTCTCCCAGGCTGGAGTGCAGTGGCACGATCTCCGCTCACTGCAAGCTCCGTTGTCTCCCGGGTTCACGCCATTCTCCTGCCTCAGTCTCCCAAGAAGCTGGGACTACAGACACCATGCCCGGCTAATTTTTTTGTATTTTTAGTTGAGACGGGGTTTCACAGTGTTCGCCAGAATGATCTCCATCTCCTGACCTCGTGATCCGCCCGCCTCGGCCTCCCAAAGTGCTGGGATTACAGGCGTGAGCCAGCGCGCCTGGTCGAAATTTTCTTATTCTGTATTTTTTTAAGCTGGCAAAGGATAGATGCACGTTTGCCGTATTATTTCATAATTATTTGTACATCTGAGATATGTCGTACTTTCAAGAGAAAATAGATTTTCTTAAGAGACAGGACCTCAGTCTTTCGCCCAGGCTGGAGTACAATGGAGGAGTCATAGCTCACTGCAGCCTCTAACTCCTTGGCTCAAACAATCTATTCACCTCAGGCTAGGATTTGTAGTAGCTAGGATTACAGGTACATGCCACCATCCCGGCTTTCTTTTGTTTTTTTGCAGAAACAAGGTCTCACTCTGTTGACAAGGCTGGTTCCACATTCCTGGGCTCAAGCAATCCTTCCACATCAGCCTCCTAAATTGTTGGGATTACGGCTGTAATGCCTGGCCTATTTTTCTTTTCCTTTTAAGAAATATTTATTTTAAAAATTAGAGGATGGGTGTGGTGGCTCATGTCTATAATCCCAGCACTTTGGGAGGCCAAGGCGGGCAGATCACTTGTCAAGACCAGGTTTCGGCAACATGGCGAAACCCCATCTCTACTAAAAATACAAAAATTAGCCAGGCGTGGTGGCGCTAGCCTGTAATCCCAGCTACTCGGGAGGCTGAGGCATAAAAGAGAACCTGGCCAGGCGCATTGGCTCACGCCTGTAATCCCAGCACTTTGGGAGGCCGAGGTGGGTGGATCACGAGGTCAGGAGATCGAGACCATCCTGGCTAACATGGTGAAACCCCGTCTCTACTAAAAATACAAAAAGAAATTAGCCAGGTGTGGTGGCAGGTGCCTGTAGTCCCACCTACTTGGGAGGCTGAGGCAGGAGGATGGTGTGAACCTGGGAGGCGGAGCTTGCAGTGAGCAGAGATCACGCCACTGTACTCCAGCCTGGGCAACAGACTGAGATTCTGTCTCAAAAAAAAAAAAAAAAATAGAGACAAGTTGCCCAGGCTGGCCTCAAACTCCTGGGCTCAAGAGATCTGCCTAGGCTGGGCACAATGGCTCATGCCTGTAATCCCAGCACTTTGGGAGGTCGAGGCAGGCAGATCACCTGAGCTCAGAAGTTCAAGACCAGCCTGGCTGACATGGCAAAACCCCATCTCCGCTAATAATACAAAAATTAGCTGGGTGCAGTGGCGTGCACCTGTAGTCCCAGCTACTTGGCAGGCTCAGGCAGGAGAATCGCTTGAACCTGGAAAGCGGAGCTTGCAGTGAGCCGAGATCGTGCCACTGCACTCCAGCCTGGGCGACAGAGCGAGACTCTGTCTCAAACTAAACAAAACAAAACAAAACTAAACTAAACTAAACTAAACATACTGGCCTTTCCAGTGTGGCACCTCTGATGAAAACCTAAACTGGCTGTCCGTAAACATCAAACGCTCTCTGTGAATCAGGCCAAGCTCTTCCCTTCCGGTCTACAAGGCTGGGTGGGATGGGTCTGTCTGCCTCCAACCTCATCCAGCGCCTGCAGAGCCTTGTGAAACCTCTGTTGGCACCTCCAGGGGCTCACCAGGACAGGCAGAGGTCAGCATGGGCAGCGTGCGTTCCTCCTCACTGTGCTGGCGATAGCGACGCACGAATTCTTTTTGGCTCTCCAGGATACTAAAATCCGCAGCTATCCTCGTATCAAACACATAGTGCACCCCTGCAGGAGAGAGGAGCATGTTCAGCTTAAAGCACCTACGAAAAGATCTACTTTTAGGCTTCCTCTTTTTTTTTTCTCGTTCTGTCACCCAGGCTATACAGTACAGTGGCACAATCTCGGCTCACGGCAACCTCCGCCTCCCGGGTTCAAGTGATCCTCCCACCTCAGTCTCTCCAGTAACCAGGATTACAGGCGCCCGCCATTATGCCTGGCCAATTTTTGTATTTTTTAGTAGAGATGAAGTTTCACCATGTTGGCCAGGCTGGTCTTGAATTCCTGGGCTCAGGTGATCTACCCACCTTGGCCTCCCAGAGTGCTGGAATTACAGGCATGAGCCGCTGCGTCCAGCCAATACTTCCTCATTCTTACTCATTTTTGCTTTCTCACGTTTAAGAAACAAACTTAAAGCATAGATTCTACAGGCATCTCTCCTATGATAATAAAATCAGCCTTGGTTCTTTTCTATTCCTAATGGCGTAAGTTCAAGACTATGTGCTTTACCTTTTATTTTGTAAACAATGAGCGTGTATCATTTTTCACAATGAAATATGTATGTTCTCTCTCGTGCTTCTTCTCTCTCTACATCTACATTTTAAAACACCTTACTCCGGCTGGGCGCAGTGGCTCAAGCCTGTAATCCCAGCACTTTGGGAGCCCGAGACGGGCGGATCACGAGGTCAGGAGATCGAGACCATCCTGGCGAACACAGTGAAACCCCGTCTCTACTAAAAAAATACAAAAAACTAGCCGGGCGAGGTGGCGGGCGCCTGTAGTCCCAGCTACTCAGAGGCTGAGGCAGGAGAATGGCATGAACCCGGGAGGCGGAGCTTGCAGTGAGCCGAGATCGAACCACTGCACTCCAGCCTGGGCGACAGAGTTGAAATCAAGGGAATGGAAATAGTGGCTCAAGCCTGTAATCCCAGCACTTTGGGAGGCCGAGACGGGCGGATCACGAGGTCAGGAGATCGAGACCATCCTGGCGAACACAGTGAAACCCCGTCTCTACTAAAAAAATACAAAAAACTAGCCGGGCGAGGTGGCAGGCGCCTGTAGTCCCAGCTACTCGGGAGGCTGAGGCAGGAGAATCTCTTGAACCCGGGAGGCGGAGGCTGCAGTGAGCGGAGATTGCACCATTGCACTCCAGCCTGGGGCACGAGTGAGACTCCATCTCAAAAAACAAACAAACAACAACAACAACAAACTCTTGTTTAGCAACTCGCTCAGTCTTCCTTTTCTGAACTTGCACATCGACCATCACGCTATGAGGATGCTCAAGGCTGTAAAAGCCCCTCTATAAGCAAATGGAGGGAAGCAGTTCCAGTTTGACCAAAGCAGAAGACGCAGAAGGCCGGGCGCGGTGGCTCAAGCCTGTAATCCCAGCACTTTGGGAGCCCGAGACGGGCGGATCACGAGGTCAGGAGATCGAGACCATCCTGGCGAACACAGTGAAACCCCGTCTCTACTAAAAAAATACAAAAAAAAAAAAACTAGCCAGGCTCGGTGGCGGGCGCCTGTAGTGAAACCCTGTCTCTACCAAAAACAAAAACAAAAAAAATTAGCCGGGCGTGGTGGTGGGGCAGGAGAATGGCGTGAACCTGGGAGATGGAGTTTGCAGTGAGCCGAAATGGCACCACTGCACTCCCGCCTGGGCGACAGAGCGAGACTCTGTCTCAAAAAAAAAAAAGAAATATTATAAATTTTAAAATATTACATTAAGAAATCAATTTTACTGTGGATACATTTTATTGATATATAATATTCCATTATATAATTTTAACAATCTATCCCCAAATAAGATATTTCATCATGAGAAAATAGAGCATTTGGCAACTTTGATCTTCAGTAAAACTAACCTAACCCAAGGCTTTACGATGACAAGCATGAAGGAGCAACCTAACGTGTGTGCACCTGTTGCTGTAGCCGGGTTTCGGCGGCAGCACATTATGTGCTAGACGACCAGGCCCTGTTAGAGCCCAGGCACCTAGGGAACAGGGAGCATCAGGACCCCCAGGCTGCTGCTCAGACTTCAAGCCTGTCCTGATGATCCTTATTCCAAATATCATTTTATTTCACCAGTAATTCCCAATATATCTACATCTATGTTCTTATTAAGCAGAGATGGGATCTTGCTATGTTGTCCAGGTTGGTCTCGAGCTCCTGGCCTCAAGTAATCTTCTGGTCTTGGCCTTCCAAAGTGCTGGGATTACAGGCATGAGCCACCAAACCTGACCAATATTTACAATTTTTAAAAGCCACTGTATAATAATAAACCTTTTGGCTAGGCGCGGCGGCTCATGCCTACAATCCCAGCACTTTGGGAAGCCAAGGTGGGTGGATCACGAGGTCAAGAGATTAAGACCATCCTGGCCAACATGGTGAAACATCATCTCTACTAAAAATACAAAGATTAGCTGGGTGTGGTGGCAGGCACCTGTAATCCCAGCTACTCACGAGGCTGAGGTAGGAGAATCTCTTGAACCCGGGAGGCGGAGGCTGCAGTGAGCGGAGATTGCACCATTGCACTCCAGCCTGGGGCACGAGTGAGACTCCATCTCAAAAAACAAACAAACAACAACAACAACAAACTCTTGTTTAGCAACTCGCTCAGTCTTCCTTTTCTGAACTTGCACATCGACCATCACGCTATGAGGATGCTCAAGGCTGTAAAAGCCCCTCTATAAGCAAATGGAGGGAAGCAGTTCCAGTTTGACCAAAGCAGAAGACGCAGAAGCATCATCCGTCAACATTTTAGGCAGTGTTATTCCAGTGCTGATGCGGAGTTCTTTGATTATATTCTTTTTTTTTTTTTTTTTTTTTCTTTTTTTAGAGACGGAGTCTCGCTCTGTCACCCGGGCTGGAGTGCAGTGGCCGGATCTCAGCTCACTGCAAGCTCTGCCTCCCGGGTTTACGCCATTCTCCTGCCTCAGCCCCCGTGTAGCTGGGACTACAGGCGCCGCCACCTCGCCCGGCTAGTTTTTTGTATTTTTTTTAGTAGAGACGGGGTTTCACCGTGTTAACCAGGATGGTCTCGATCTCCTGACCGCGTGATCCGCCCGTCTTGGCCTCCCAAAGTGCTGGGATTACAGGCTTGAGCCACCGCGCCCAGCCTAAATTTCTACCCTTCATTCATTCCTCAGGTAAAGGACACAAGCCCATTCCCTTTCTGGTCTGCTCTTCAGACAGCTTCTTGGGAAACCAGACACTAATCATTTCAGAAGTGACTGTTTATCAAATACACACCCTCTGGGGGTAAGGGGTGACTTGGAGGTTGCTGGGCCACTGTGGGAATCTCCCAGTGTCCCTGTCCGTGTTGTCAGAGGCGGTCACTGTTTGGTCCCAGAGGGGGCAGCTCCCATTGTGTAACAAAACACCCGTCTGTGCACAGCAAAGGAGAAAAGTGACACTCGTCTACCATCGATCAGAGGCTGGGTTTTCATGACACACGGGACAAGGTCTTTTTACGTTCCAAGAGACTCTTTGGAAGTTGCTTATATACCCTGCGTCCTTGAAAAACGAACTTGAGAGATTAAAAAGGGCGCTTATAAACTCGAGTTGTCCAATCGATCCAAGGATGACTCACCAAGACTTCTGAAGAAGCCACAGACTCTTCTGGAAGCATCAGTTACACTGAGGTTGAATTTAGCAGCAAAATAAGGCAAAGACTGAGGACACACAGACACTACCAGCACTTTGTGCTTTGAGGTGTCACATTTCTGGAAGAAGAAACAGAGAATGTCAGGTATCTGCTGATTACACAAGGAGTAAAAGTTAGACATCTTAATGAGAAATTCAGAACAACGTAATGGATGGTCTATGCAAAGACTAATAAAATAGACAAACACTGGCAAACATAATTAAGGAAAAAGAAGAAAAAAAATCAGGATTATGGTGAGGTCTGGGCTTCTGGTAAATATTTTTTTAGAAGTCAGGATTTACAAAATGAAACATGAGCTGGCTTCGGTGGTGTATGCCTATGGTTCCAGCTATACAGGAGGCTAACGCAGGAGGATCGCTTGAGGCTAGGAGTTCGAGACTGCAGAGCCTATAATCACACTTAGCAACAGCCACAGCCACTGTGCTGTAGCCTGGGTGACATTGTAATACTCTGTTTCTTTTTCGTTGTTGTTTGTTTTTTGAGACAGAGTTTCACTCTTATTGCCCAGGCTAGAGTGCAGTGGTACCATCAATCTCAGCTCACTGCAACCTCCACCTCCCAGGTTCAAGTGGTTCTCCTGCCTCAGCCTCCCAAGTAGCTGGGATTATAGGGACCCGCCACCATGCCCAGCTAATTTTTTGTATTTTTAGTAGAGATGGGGTTTTGCCATATTGGGCAGCCTGGTCTCGAACTCCTGACCTTGTGATCCGCCTGCCTCGGCCTCCCAAACTGCTGGGATTACAGGCATGAGCCACCTGGCCTGGCCGATACTCTGTCTTAAAAGAGACATGACTACAGATCTAAGAGACTTTGTCAATTTCAGGAATAATGTTATATCAGTAAATGTGCATATCTGGAAAAAATAAATAATTTTAAAGGGAAAATACAAATTACAACATTGGCCAATGAATAACTGAAATTACTACATAATAATAAAAAAACACACACACTAAAATGGTATCCAGAGATGCCTCTTAAAAGTCATCAGCCCGGCTGGGCATGGTGGCTCACAGCTGTAATCCCAGAACTGTGGGAGGCTGAGGCAGAAGAATTGCTTGAACGCAGGAGGTGGAGGTTGCAGTGAAACGGAGGTTGCAGTGAGCTGAGATCGCTCCACTGCACTCCAGCCTGGGCGACAGAGCGAGACTCCAACTCAAAAAAAAAGAAAAAAAAGAAAACAAAAGTAACCAGGCCCAAGACACTTTGTGAGTAAGCCTCATCTACAAACTGTTCTAAAAAAATACTCCATAAACTAGCATAAAACCACAAGGCTCTCAATATCCTTAAACCAGAACTAGACATTGGCAGTGCAATAGAAGACAGGTTCAGATAAAAAGAGTCAAGGTCCGGGTGTGGTGGCTCATGCCTGTAATCCCAGCCCTTTGGCAGGCTGAGGCCAGTGGATGGCCTGAGGTCAGGAGCTCGAGACCAGCCTGGCCAACAGGGAGAAACCCCATCTCTACTAAAAATACAAAAACTAGCCAGACATGGTGGTGTGCACCTGTAATCCCAGCTACTCAGGGGGCTGAGGCAGTGGAAGACTGCTTGAACCCAGGACAGTAAGAGTGTTGCAGTCAGCCAAGACTCGCACTCACTGCTCAAGCCGTGGGCGACCATAGAGCGAGAACTCCATTCAAAAGAAGAATAAAGAATAGACAACGAGCAGTAAAGGGGTGGAGGTGGAACGTAATGGGACGAAAAAAAAAAAAGAAGGCAGGTACAGTGGCTCGTACCTGTCAATACCAGCACTTTGGGGAGGCAAAGGCGGGTGGATCACTGAGGCCAGCAAATTTCAAGAGCCAAGGCCTGGCCAACACTGGCGAAGGCCAAAAAAAGAAAGAAATGGACGCACATCTATCAAATATGTATGAGAGAGATAGGATATTTCAGCGTCAACGGGGGACAGAAGAGAAGATTGCTGGAACAATTTGACTTTTTCGAATAGAAAAGAATGTATCTGGCTGGGCATGGTGGCTCACGCCTGTAATCCCAGAACTTTGGGAGGCCGAGGCGAACAGATCACTTGAGGTCAGGAGTTTGAGACCAGCCTGGCCAACATGATGAAACCCTGTCTCTATTAAAAATACAAAAATTAGCTGGGCATGGTGGCACATGCCTTTAATCCCAGCTACTTGAGAGGCTGAGGTAGGAGAATTGCTTGAACCCAGGAAGGAGAGGTTGCAGTAAGCTGAGATCACACCACTGCACCCCAGCCTGGAAGACAGTGAGACTCCATCTCAAAAAAGAAAAAAACGGAGAAAGAATGTATCCACATCTCACACTGTACTAAAATATAAGTTGTAGACTGGACAAGCAGCATAAGATAAAATATAAACTGTCAATAAACATAATCTGCGGCAACCAACTTCTCTAAATAAGCAGGAAAATGCAAATGAGATACAATTTTCTATGCATCAGGTTGGAAAAAACTGAATTTGATATTGAATGTGACCAGGATGGCTGCACACAGCTGTTTGCCCATATCCCTTAGGGAAGTATAAAGGGACACAGACACTTTCAAGAGTGTTTCTGCAAAAACCGTTGATACCACAGAATTAAGTCTCTAGTAGTCTGCAAAGCTGCATCCACTAAGTCTGTACAACATAACAAAATGGCTGAAGCCATTCTGTTCCCTGAAAGGCCAAGGGGGAGCAGGTGGGGACGGGTATGCATGGCGAACCTGGCTGATGGGGGTGACATCTCCTGGTTCAGACCATCCTAACCAGGCAGCCTGCTGCTTGCTAATGGAGCTCCCGTGCAACTGCATGTAAGTCAGCGTGCACCCAGACACGACGAATGCGGGCAACACAAACTGCATGTGTGATCTAGGTCATGCATGGTGGTCGACGCCTGTACTCCCAGCACTTTGGGAGGCTGAGGCAGGAGGATTGCTTGAGCACAGGAGTTCAGGACCAGTCTAGGCAACATGGCAAAACCCCATCTCTACAAATAATACAAAAATTAGGCAGGTGTGATAGCACGCATCTGTGGTCCCAGCTGCTCTGGAGGCTACAGGGAGCCTCCGGAGGTGGGAGGATCACCTGAGTCTTCCCACTGAGCCAAAACTACACCACTGCCCTCCAGCCTGGGTGAGACCCTGTCTCAAAAAGAAAAATATTGTGATCTAATCGATGCTGGATGACTTGTCCAGAAGATGCCATGGGGGTAAATGGCAAACGCGAGAAGGCTCCTTGGCTGTCCCCTATGCCACCACACTTAAGCCAGTCAGTGTTTCTTGAGGCCCCTACCTCGCTCTAGCACACTACCTACTGTGAATGGGCGCCTACACCCTGGGCGGGGTAGGATGCCGATGCTTCCTTTGGAGGTGACAGCATGGAAACCAGGAAGTGCTTTTCAACCTCATCTGCCTTTGTCTCTTTCTCTTTCACCCGTGATATGGTTTGGCCCTGTGTCCCCACCCAAATCTCATGTGAAACTGATGGCTGGGCCTGGCAGGAGGTGACTGGGTCATGGGGGCAGATCTCCCACTTGCTCTTCTCGTGATAGTGAGTCCTCACAAGATCTGGTTGCTTACAAGGGTGGAGTACCTCCCCCTTCAGTTGCTTGCTCCTGCTGCCACGTGAAGACATGCTTGCTTCCCCTTCGCCCTTCTGCCATGATCGTTTCCTGTGGCCTCCCCAGCCATGTCTCCTGTAGAGCCTGTGGAACTGTGAGTCAATTAAACCTCTCTGCTTTATAAATTACCCAGTGTCAGGTAGTTCTTTGCAGCAACGTGAGAATGGACTAATACAACCCATCTCACGGAAAGACAAGTGGCACCTCTAGGTCTGTATAGTAGGTCTGCAGGGACGAGCTGAAGGAAGGAGCTTTGGGAATTTTTACTTCCTTGGAGTGTCTCTGCCTTGCCCCAAGCTGATCGGTCTATTAGAACATAACTCTCGTGTCCAAAAACGTGCAGCAGAGGCAGAACAGCAGGAGCTCCAGCTCTGTGCTGCCCGCATGATCACCAACACCCATGTTACCAGACCTCACCAGGCAGAGGCCCTGCTTAAGCCACAGGAGCCTGAGGGGTGGTGCCAGCCCCCCACCACTGCCTGAGCATCATTAAGGGAGCATGAAATTGTGCAGGGATTTTGCTCTTGATGGAGAGGATTGGAACAAGGTCAAAGCGGGACGTTAGCAACACCGGGAAAAGGCTGAGATGTGCATCGGCTGTCCCAGCAGAGGCTTCTGTACAGGAAGCCAGGACTCCCCTCGACCTCCAGGCCGGCTCCCCAGCATCAACAAATGCCCTGAATGCCTTACCTTGTTAAGGTTCAGAACGCGGAAGAAGTCCTTGGCATTTTGCTGGGAAAGCTGGACTCCTTCCTCTGCAGTCACGCAGCTGTCACATGCCAGGCAGTCACTCAAAAATATCCTGGCATCAGCCAGCTTGTGGAATTCTCCCTTCTATGAAAGGAAGGTAACGTTTCAGCATGATTATTCAACAAATACTCTTTAATGTGCTTTTTTAGGGAGGGTAATACCCATATACGAATTCACAGTAAACACCGGAGACAATACCAGGGTCCAGGCCTGGTGCTCAAGGGGCTAGAAGCAGGACAGTCTCTGCCACTGAGCAGCTCAAGGTGGTAGAGGGACACAGGACACAGGGCCCAGCCCACGATGACACTAGGGAACCATGCAGATGACAAAGGTGGAACCCAGCCCTAGCACCATCATGTGGTAGGAAGTAAATGACCCCTGTGTTCTGGAAGCTGACCCCACTGGCCCTTCCCTCCTCCTAGACCCCTTCCTTTTTGGTGCCTGTGATCCAGCCCTCTGACTGCTCCCCTAGCTCTGTGCTCCCTAAGCTTACCATCCCATGGCTCCCTGAGGCCACCCATAGCCCTGGCCTCTCCCTCAAGGCTCAGAACTTTACAACTCAGTGCTGGCTCTGCGTTTGCACTTGGACATGTAACAAGATGCTCATCCTGACCTGGATGTAGAGTCACTCTTTGATCCCTTCCAGCCTCTCCTTCCTGATTGGCCCTTGTGTCCCCCAACATCTGCTAAAACATAAACTACACCTCTGCTCTGCTCAGACAGCTGCCCCTCACACAGAGGGCCTGAGCAAAGCCAGTGGCCCCTGTCTGCCTGGGTCCCATCACAGCCCTCTTGGTCTCCACACGTCCCGCCCCACTGGCCCTTGCTGCTCTCGCCATCCCTCTGCATGAAGCGACCTCTAAGAGTCCCAGGCTCGCCCTGGGTGGCCTTCAGCAGAGAGGATGTCCAACACCTGCTAAAACAGCGCCACTCCCTCACTCGTCTCTTCCCTCCCGACCCATCTGTACTCATGTTGCTGACTGCTGGCAGGAATCTGTCCCTCCTCACTAAAATGTAAGCCCATGAAAGCTCGAACACTTGTCTGTTCTCCTGTTCCCCAGCACCTCCAAGAGGTACTGCACACAGATAATGCTCAATAAATAACTGGTGGATGAACACATGAATACTCTGACGCTTACAGGAGTAATGTCAATAAATTACAGAAGCTCCTCAGGTAGTCCATGCATTTGTTTTTCTTTAAAACATGATTTGACAGGAGGCAGCTGTGGATGTCCTCCTCCTTCCATAGTGTGCTGTGAACGGCAGCTCAGGTGTCACCTCTGCCTCCTGTCTATGCATGACCCCATGTCTCTGTGCAGCCCACTCACCCTGGGATCTTGTTCTGCTGCAGATGGGCACACAGGGCAGATGGGCACTCAGGGCAGATGGGCACTCAGGGCAGATGGGCACTCAGGAGGTCCACATGGGGCTCAAGAGTTTGTGCTTCTAACAAGTTCCAAGTGGGTCGAAGCTACTGCTCCACTCCAAACGTTTGGTGCCCACAGCTGCATGAATTCTGCCTCCACAGCCCATCCGGATCGAGGTGCCCATGACCAAACTGCACCCCTCACCCAGCAGTGCCTCCTCCCTGCCTTGCCGCCAGACACGTTGTGTATAACTCAGTCCTTCCGTAAGGTTTCGTGGTCCAGGTCTTATTCCCTCCTCATTTGTCACATTCTTTCTTCTTATTCCTGCTGCCTTCCACATTTATGCATTTTGCAGAAGCCCTGTTCCCTTTTATCAGGCCTGCCGGCCTCACTCTGCCCAGGGCAGCCCTGCCACCTGCACTTCCAGCAGAGTGCTCTCCTCACCAAACCCCAGTCTCACACACTGTAGAAGGCCCAGTGTCTGTGGAGCTAAAACTGCACTCTCTTCCCTGCACTATGTCCTCTGTTCTGTCTTTACCACTCTGGCAGACTTGCCCAGGCCCACCACCTCTGCCTAGGCTCTCAAAGCTGCCACCCAAGTGGCTTCCTGCAATTCTTCCCTCTACTCTAGCCAGCTTAAGTCAGTTACCTCCATCACCTGCCCTAAAACAAACACCTGAGTCATCCCCTCACAGTCTCCACAGCTCTGCACCGTCACTGACCTGGCCAAGGGGAGCCACTGTCTCTCCCTAGAGCATGTCTGTCCACACCCTCCTCTTGCCTGGTGCCAGTGCCCTTCCCTAGACTCCCACCCTGAATTCTGACCACTCTTCAGGGTCCACTCCACTAACCCTAACCCAACTCCTCTCACCCTGTGTCTATCACTGACCTGGAAGAGCGCCCACTTAGGCTGTGTACACACGTTATCTCATCCTCACCACAGTCCTGGGAGGGAAGTAACCCTACTCCCCAGGCCTCTGATAAGGAAATGAGACTCACAGGGCTTAGATATCTGTCCAAGATGTCACAACCAGAGGGCAGGCGACGGAGGCCCCTGGGGCCGGCCATTTAAGCGCACTGGCCCCAGCTGCCTCCAGGACTCCAATGCACCCTACCTCTCTTCTGCCTGTGGCCAGCTCTTTGAGTGCTTGTCTCAGGCCCTGTTGCTCCCTAAGCCCCACAGTCCCCACAGCACACAGGGCAACCAGAAAACCTCTCAGATTAAACGTATCAGAACTACTAAACTTAAGGAAAAAATATGCTTCTGCCATATTGCCAACTCTCCATTTATAAATTGGTACCAGTACTTTCTAAGGGTAGAATGACCTCAACCTCTCCCAACATCTTTCACTCAGTAAAACAGGGATAATGGCCAGGCTTACAGGTAATGCTTCTTCTGAGCATGAAATGAGACTGCATGTAAGATGACATTCTTTTTTTTGAGACGGAGTCTCACTCTGTCACCCAGGCTGGAGTGCAGTGGTGTGATCTCCGCTCACCGCAAACTCCGCCTCCTGGGTTCAAGGGATTCTCTTGCCTCAGGCTCCTGAGTAGCTGGAATTACAGGCATGCACACTACGCCCAGCTAATTTTGTACTTTTAGTAGAGATGGGGTTTATCCATGTTGGTCAGGCTGATCTTGAACTCCCGACCTCAGGTGATCCACCCATCTCGGCCTCCCAAAGTGTTGGGATTACAGACGTGAGCCAACATGCCTGGCCATAAAATCACATTCTTGAGAGCCAGGCTCAGGGTATGTATCCAATAAACAGAAACCATCGCTACTAGCTAAGGATAATTTAAAAACAAGAACTGAATTAGAAAAGAGGCCAGGTGCAGTGGCTCATGCCTCTAATCCCAGCACTTTGGGAGGCCGAGGCACGTGGATCACCTGAGGTCAGGAGTTTGAGAACAGCCTGACCAACATAGTTTCACCCCGTCTCTACTAAATACAAAAAATTAGCCGGGCGTGGTGGTGCACGCCTGGAATTCCAGCTACTTGGGAGGCTAAGGCAGGAAAATCTCTTTGACCTGGGAGGCGGAGGTTGCAGTGAACCAAGATCGCACTGCTGCAATCCAGCCTGGGCAACAGGAGGCAGACGCTGTCTCAAAAAAAAAAAGAAAGAAAGAAAAAGGAAACCATTAAAAAAAATTAACTACAGAATCATGAAATTTGAGTTATTTTATAAATTACCTATCTCAATACTCATTTTATAGAATGGAAATTACTATTAAAAAATATTCAGCTGGGACTGAGTATAGTAGCTCACGCCTATAATCCCAGCAATTTGGGAGGCTGAGGCAGGAGGATCACTTGAGCCCAGGAGTTCAAGACCAGCCTGGGCAACATAATGGAACTCCATCTCTACAAAAAAATTAAAATAAAAAATAAATTAGCTGGGCACGGTGGTGCATACCAGCAGTCCCAGCTACTAGGGAGGCTGAGGCAGGAGAATCACTTGAGCCTCGGAGGTCGAGGCTGCAGTGAGCCATACAGTGAGCCACTGCACTCCAGCCTGGGTGACAGTGAGACCCTGTCTCAAAAGGGGAAAAAAAAATTCAAAGAAGAAATCCAATATTACACCACGTTTTCTTTGTTCCCAATGCAGTGTGTTTTGGCATGGGTGTGTTCTGAGAAGACAGGCCTTGTGCCACCGATGGACTGTCTCACACATGTCTTTATTAGCCCCTTCAAGTTTATTTCAGTCTTGGAGACGGAGTCTCGCTCTGTCGCCTGGGCTGGAATGCAGTGGCACGATCTCGGCTCACTGTAAGCTCCGCCGCCCAGGTTCACGCCATTCTCCCGCCTCAGCCTCCCGAGTAGCTGGGACTACAAGTGCCCACCACCACGCCTGGCTAATTTTTTGTATTTTTAGTAGAGATGAGGTTTCACTGTGTTAGCCAGGATGGTCTCAATCTCCTGACCTGATGATCCGCCTGTCTCAGCCTCCCAAAGTTCTGGGATTACAGGCGTGAGCCACCACGCTCAGCCTATTTCAGTCTTTTTTTTGGGGACAGAGTCTCACTCTGTTGCCCAGGCTCGAGTACAATGGTGCAGTCTCAGCTCACTGCAAACTCTGTCTCCCAGGGTCAAGTGATTCTCCTGCCTTGGCCTCCTGAGTAGCTGAGATTACAGGTGTGCACCACCATATCTGGATAATTTTTGTATTTTTAGCAGAGATAAGGTTTCACCATGTTGGCCAGGCTGGTCTCAAACTCCTAACCTCAAGTGATCCACCCACTTCGGCCTCCCAAAGTGCTGGGATTACAGGCGTGAGCCACTACGCCCGGCCGTACTTCAGTCTTCTCTAAAGCAGTGATGTGCATGGTGCTGTGAGCCCCCAAAGAGAGAAACAGCAGCAGCATTTTACTCTGGGCTGATACAAAACTGAAAAATCTACTTGCCTCTCCATTTTCCTGGGCTGGACTCGGTGCATCGGCTGACACATTCTCTTGGTCATCAGTTTTTGTTTTCTTACTACATTCCTTAAAAAAGCAAAGGAACATTATTAATTAACTTTTAATTCGTCTCCATTAAGAAAATGTGCATACTCTGACCAATGAAGCTCATGTATTTCTATCTTCTTTTAAATTAATTAATTATTTTTTAGACAGAGTCTCACTCTCACCCAGGCTGGAGTGCAGAGGCACAATCTCGGCTCACTGCAGTCTCTTCCTCCCGGGTTGAAGCGATTCTCCTGGATCAGCCTCCCGAGTAGCTGGCATTATAGGTATGCACCACCACGCCCAGATAATTTTGTATTTTTAGTAGAGACAGGGTTTTGCCATGTTGGCCACGATGGTTTTGAACTGCTGACCTCAGGTAATCCACCTGCCTCGGCCTCCCGAAGTGCTGGGATTACAGGCGTGCACTGCCACTCCTGGCTAATTTTTGTATTTTTAGTAGAGAGGGGGTTTCACCATGTTGGCCAGGCTGGTCTCGAACTCCTGACCTCAGGTGATCCACCCGCCGAGGCCTCCCCTCCCAAGATGCTGGGATAACAGGCGTGAGCCACTGGGCCTGGCCTTCTATCCTTTCCCGGCCTTCTATCTTTTCTAGTGAAACAAAAGCGCACGTACTTAAGATCACACACACATCTCTATTGTCTGCAATAATAAAGCAGAAGCAACAGTAGCCTCCCCTATACAGGTGAATTCCCCTGGACGCAGGTGTCCTTAGAATACGACGCAGCCACCAACGGGGATGAACGACCCATTGAACGCTCGGAAGCCTCCTGCCACGGTGTCACGCACAGAAGAGCCAGCCACAGAGCAGCATCCACGGGAGCCCATTTCGGCAAAAACGGCTACAAACCCCCCAGCGTGCGCTGCGCGCTGCGCGCTGGTGGCCACGGCCTGGAGACAAGCGCGGAAGGCGCCGGTCAGCAGCCGTCACCCGCTTCCGCCCCTGCACCGGCTGCTCGGTGACCCTCAGCGGGACAGGTTCGAAAACGCCTAAAAACCCCTCGGAACGCTTCTGATCATTCCCGCCACGACCGGCGTTTACTCGGACTGTGCCGCGCGGCACGAGAGGCTCGGTCTCCGTTCGTTTCCGCGCTTCGCGGGCGTGGGAAAGATGGACAAGTTCAGGGAGAACCGCTAAGACCGAGCCCGCCCCACAGCGCAGCGGACCCCGCGCCGGCCGCCTCCACGCCGGGCGGGCCCAGGGTGCTGAGGCCGGGGAAGCCCTGAAGAGCCCTGAGGCGAGCAAGCGGCGGGCCCGGGCCGCCAACCTCCGCCGCCCAGAGAGAGCCCCACGGGACAGGCACCGGGCGCGCGCCTCCCGGGCCCGCGGCGCTCACCTTGCGCGTGCAGTGCTCACACTTCATCTGGAGCGCTGCGGGCGGGAGGCCGGGCGCCTCGGCCTGAGGGAAGCACCGGGAGACTGGGACACCGCCGCCCGCCGCCCGCGGCCCTTTGTTGTCCTGCCCCGACGCGGCCTCACCCCCCGCGGCCGCACTCGGCCAATGAGAGCACCCGGAGAGGACAAGCCGCACCCCTGGGCCAATAGGATTCCCCACCCCTACGGGTTTGTCTAGGCCAATCACAGTGTCGAGAAGGGGCGGGCCAAGCCCCAGAGCCAATCGGAGCGTGCGGGGCGGAGCGCAGCTTCACTCCACGTACGGCGCCGCGGGGACCGGGTTCTAGCGCCGGTTTCCGCTTCTCGCGGGTCCTGCGGCGGCGGCGGCGGCCAAGCGGCGTTCACCAGGGAGTCGGTGAGCGCGCGGACTGTCCCGAGGCCAAGCCGTGGCCGTTCCAGGGTGCTCGGTCCGGTGGTCACGGGGTCTGGAGGCCGCGGCCGGGCTCGCTCAGCCAGCTTGGCGTCGGACACTCGCCTTACTCGTGGCTCCCGACGGGGCGAGCCGGGGGCACAGCTCTCGTCCGCCGCCATTGCCGCTTCACCTCGTGTCACGTAGGCCCGGCGGAGTAGCAGCGCGCATGCGCGGCCTGCCTGGCAGTAACCACGTGACGGACCCGGAAGCACGAGGGCAGATGCTAAATGATGGCCTTTTGACATTTGCGTGCGTTCATGGTGGATAATTTTACCAAGTACATTGGTTTGGGCCCTTACAGTTTACAAAGTAAAGAATAACACTTACTCCTCCAAGAAATTGATTTCAGTTAAGCAAAATGGCTTAATGGTAGTGTTGGACTCCTCTGCTAATTATAAACATTTTATGAAATCAGTGTATGTGTATTTCAGAAATAAGAAATAAGAACATGTCTGGAAGAGTGTGACATAAGAAAAATAACTTGTAGGCATATTTAACAGACACCAGCAGTTCTCAGGATTCCCCATGTTAGAGCCTTTCTTCCTGTCCTCTGAGAAGTGAAAATGAAATCCAAAGACCCCCAACTGACTGCACGAACGCCCTACTGGCTAAGGAGATCCCAGAGTTACCTTGAAGATAGTTCTCAGCCATGACAGATGGGAGGTGAGACACCTGTTATTACGGGCGGCCCTTGGCTGACTACCATTAGGTTTTCTTTGCTAAGAGCTTTACGGAAACCAGCCCTTTCGAAAGACTCCACCGCTGATAACCCTCCCATTTGCAGTTTCAGCGCAATTGACCAGTATTCCTTACTGATAAGAGATCACTGACCATGGAGTGGTTCTGGCCAGATGACATGACCCTCATGAAGGGGCCTGAAGCTTCACTGTGGTTGTGTATGTTTCTGTCTTCAAAAATATTCATGACTCCTCCTGTAGCTTGCTAAATATGTATATTTACACACTACTCTGCAAAGATTCCTGTTCCTTTTGCCCCTCCCTGGAAGTGTCCGTTTCTGGCTTCTGGCCAGAGGCAGTGCTTCCCTGCCTGTCAAAATGGCCACCCTGCAGGCTGAAATCCTTTATGAGAAATAAAGCTCTCCTTTCCAAATGTATGAATCTCATCATTCTTCAGCTTGTCATTGACCGTCAGGTTCTTCCTGCCCGCTGTACAGACAAAAAGTCAATTCATCAAGATTGCAGCATGACAGGAAAAGAATTTAATTGACACCTGGCAGGCCACACAGGAAGACAGAGTTATTACTCAAATCAGTCTCTCCAAAGGCTCAGCGGTTAGGGTTTTTTATGGACAATATGGTGGGCAGGGGACTAGGGAATGGGTGCTGCTGACTGACTGGGGATGAAATCATAAAGGTGTGTGGAAAATGGTCCTCAAGCACTGAGTCTGCCTCAGGGTGGGGCCACAGGAACCAGTTGAGTCCTGAGTCACAGGTTGGGGTGGGTTCACTCTGAAAAACATCTCAAAAAGCCAATCTTAGGTTCTGCAATACTGATATTATCTATAGGTGCAATTCGGGAAGTTTTAAAGCTTGTGACCTCTGGCTACGTGAATCCTGAGCAGTAAGGGATTGTAGAAACCAGGCCTACATTTTAGCAGAGTTCAGGCCCCTCCCACAATCCTAAACTTGTAGCCTTTCATTAGCTTTACAAAGGTAGTTTCGGCCCCAGAAGAGGGAGGTGATAGTTTTAGGAAGGGACTGTTATCATCCTTGCTTCAAAGTTAAACCATAAATTCCTCCCAAAGCTCCTGAAATTAGCTTGGCTTATGCCCAGGAATAACCAAGGACAGCTTGGATGTCAGAAGGAAGATGGAATTAACTATGTGAAATTTCCCTTTTTTTTTTTTGAGACAGGGTCTCACTCTGTCACTCAGGCTGGAGAGCAGTGGTGTGATCACAGCTCACTGCAGCCTCAACCTCCTTGGCTCAAGTAATGCTTCCACCTCAGCCCTGCCGGGTAGCTGAGACTACAGCTTGCACCACCATGCCTGGCTAAGTTTTAAGCTTTTTGTAGATACAGGGTCTCCCCATGTTGCCGAGGCTGTTCTTGAATTCCTGGGCCCAAGTGATCCACCACAGCCTCCCAAAGTGCTGGGATTACAGGTGTGAGCCACTGCACCCAGCCTCTCTCACTGCTTTAATCTCTGCAAAGGTAGTCTCAAGTTGACACTTCAACGTTGAGGCGGGGCACAGTGGCTCACGCCTGTAATCCCAGCACTTTGGGAGACCAAGGCAGGTGCGTCAGTTGAGGTCAGGAGTTTGACACCAGTCTGGCCAATATGGTGAAACCCCGTCTCTACTAAAAATACAAAAATTGGCCGGGTGCAGTGGCTCAAGCCTGTAATCCCAGCACTTTGGGAGGCCGAGACAGGCGGCTCACGAGGTCAGGAGATTGAGACCATCCTGGCTAACCCGGTGAAACCCTGTCTCTACTAAAAAATACAAAAAACTAGCCGGGTGAGGTGGTAGGCGCCTGTAGTCCCAGCTACTCAGGAGGCTGAGGCAGGAGAATGGCATAAACCCGGGAGGCGGAGCTTGCAGTGAGCTGAGATCTGGCCACTGCACTCTAGCCTGGGCGACAGAGCGAGACTCCGTCTCAAAAACAAACAAACAAACAAAAAACAAAAATTGGGCATGGTGGCTCACGCCTGTAAGCCCAGCACTTTGGGAAGCCGAG